TTCCATGAAGGAGAGATTTTCCTCCCACGCTCCCCCCACCCCGTAAAAGGCCAATTCCCCTGCCTCTCACTCACCATAGGGGGTGTTTATCTCCTCCCCCCACACCTTCCACCACACTGGACTTACTAGCTGGAGGCAGCTGTATCAGAAATCAGATCAACATAGGCCGATATGCCTCCTTAAATATCAGCCCCAAAAGTCTCTATTGGTGCATTTGTATTTCTATTCCTTTTTTTGTGTTTCATTAGAATGAAGAACATAGTAAAAATGAATAAAATGTACGTGTTGATTTTTAAATCCTGTATTGTCTATCTAATTAAATACTGTCCTACCTACCTTTCATTACAGAATACTGAATTATAAGATTATAGAAAATAGAAATCACATATTACAAATGAAATCATAGAACCATAGAAAAGTAGGGCTCTAGAAGACCTCTGAAGGCCATCTAGTTCAACCCCCTGCCCCCTGCAAATTTGCTGTAGAAGAAGTTGATGAATGTTATAAAGCTCCCATTTCTGTAGGTATCTTTGTATCCAGCATAGTACTAGGCAGTGTCAGTGACAACATCTGAAAGACACTGGACAATCCCAAATTCTTAAAACATTTAGCTGCATCAAGGCTGGAGCTTCCACTTTATAATTTGATTTAATACCAGAGAATCAATTACTTTCATAGTATTTTAAAGCTCTGACTTCCTATGATTTAAAAAAAATGTAATTTAGTGTCAAGTGTAAAGGTGACCTCAACACCCAGATTCTCTGGGATTTTGAAATGCTGATATTTTGAGTCTATAAGGTGCCAAATACCTGGGATGAAAATATCAACCATGTTACTATATGAATTACCTTTGCTGGAAAATTAACCATAATACATTAATGGCATCCTATGGTGACACCACTGAATACTGACATGTTTGACTCTTTCAGAAAATGGTCATTCAATCTTAAAATGTTTTTTGTAGTTTTACCCACAGTTTCAAGAATCTGAATATCCCACTTTTCACACTGGGAGGTTCAAGAACAGCACAGCCTTGAGGTTGTTTGTTTTGATAGCAGATTTACACATGCAACTCTCCCTATCAGCTCTGCAATGTGTGCAGAAGTTTTGCTCTGCCAAACACTTCAGAATAGGACTTCCGTCCTTTTTAATTTCTCTGCCACCACACAGGAATTCTGCTAATAGGAAAAGCCAAATTTGCATGTCTTAGGTTTACTGACTAGCATATTAAGATTACTGTAGCTCTCATTTTGGTGTAATTTGAGGAAATGTTGAGCTGTGACACTTATTGACATAGGTTAACACAGTGATAAACCAGAATAACAACTGCTCTGTTCAGCTTATTCCTGTGCCAACTCCTCTCTGCCAGGACATATAAACAACTTTTGTTAAAAATAAAAAGCACCTGAAATTGTCAATCCATTGGGACATGGTAGGTCTTTGCTTTTGAAGAAATACAGTAACATGGCTTTCATTCCTTAATGTCTACAAATCTGCCCCAAAATCCAAAGGAGCAAAAGAGAAAGGAAAAGCAGTTGTTGCATCTCCTCAGTCTTCTTGATTTTAATTCACTTTCTCCCACTCTGATTTCTGGTCATTTCAGAAACCAAAAGGAAAATGTCAAATAATTGCTCATTAATAACAGTGATTTTTTTTTTTTTTGCAAAATACTCCTCTGGTAATAGACTGCAGTAAATTGTCCTGCTCTTGGAACAGAACAAAGCCCTTCCTAATTTGCCGTTCTTTTCAGCACCAATGAACTGAAAAAAATGAAAGACATGCAGGTGGCTTCAACAGAACTGACCTGTTTGGACAAATACAGATGTCATGCATGTAAAATTTAATGGCTTTAGATTGCTCTTTGTTCTTAAAATGGTAGTCTGCCAGGAGGTAGTACAGTTCAGTCACCACTGGAGGAGAGTAGTCTGCACCCTCAGGGAGAGATGGTTCCTGAAAACAGAAAACCATAGGTGCATCAGCCATACATTTTTAAAAAGCTGCACACACGCTGCTTCCCTGCAGTGAAAAGTGATAGTACAGTTACTATGTAACATTTTTTCATCACAAGAAACAAGAAGATTGAAATTATTCCACTCCTTTACAGAGTCCTCACAAAACATTATACAGATAAACATCTATCTCTGTAATGTCTGCATTATACCTTGCTCCTGTAAAACTAAGCAGTTTGGAAAGAATATTTTCATGCAATTCAAATGCGATTCTGTATGTACTTCCAGCAAATATAATTCTCTCACACTCCATAACAAACATCCTAACTGTAAATAAAAAATGTAGCCACATTTTGCTCATTTTTTTTTTAAACACAGCAAGTTGTACCTTGCTGCAGGTTCCTTCAATATAGGCTGAGAGAGTATCTAAGTTCAACATGGGCTTGTCTGTTCGAGGAACAATCGTAGCAATCTTTTTTAAAAGATTGGCCAGATCAGCAGATACAGTGCTTGTTTTGTAGCTATCGAACTCAGGGAGAGTTTTAGGCTTAAAATACTCAAACATAAATAGAGCATCTTCCCACGTTAAATCCACCTGAAAGAAAACAAAGAAGAGAAGAGAAATTAGTTCTCAAAATCCCAAACCCCACAGGCCTACAAGGAAGATTTTTTTTTCTGAAGTAGGATAAAATAAATACTATGTTATGCAGGAAACCAATGAGGCCCTCCTAGAATAAAAGACGTAAAGACATATACTGTTTACAGTTATAACATACTGCACGCTGATTAAAAGCTAGGGCATTAGACTATAACTTAGTAAACACTGTTAACATGCTTTACTTGCTTTAAAAAAGCTGTTGGATAGGTTTTTTAGGTCTGCCCCTGAAACAGAAGAGCTGTAGGCAGGCACTTATACCTCCAGTGTAGCTATACAGAATGATGCAGGGATGGCATGGAAAGAAATAGAAGGAAATCAGCTATACTTGTTCTGGATTTTGAAACTCAAGTCCAGTTAAACGGAAGAGGAAAAATCTAAAGAACAGCCACCGTATTTGAGACATGAAAGCATTTTCAAAAAAAACAAACAAAAAAAAAAACACAGGATGCCACACCGTCACAATTTAACTTCCTCCCTTAATTTCTTCTTTTTTAATTTTTTGTAACTTAATTTACAATCTTTTTTGGTAAAACTTTCCGTCTCCAGTTGAGTCTGCATTTCCAGAAACAAATCATAACCCTTCTAAATCAATGGAAATTTTACTTTTGGCCTCAGTGGGCCAGGATTTCACCCAAAGTTATCTGTATGTGATAGACAAGTTTTGTTTCTGACAGAAGATATTTTCTTTTCCTGCTGCCCTCTTTTCCTTCTTCTTTCCCATCCTCTTCAGAAGAGTTTAGATCCATGACATACTTACACTGATGTAAATTACACTGGGATCTGGAATAATTTACCCTTGGGTAGCAGATCATAGGCTGCTACGATTAAACTAGGTGACAGGTACCAGAAATAACTGGTTTGTACTGAATAAAGCATATAGTCACGCAGTTTCTAAGAAACATATGGCATTCCAGTTGCATAGAGGTTTTTTTTCCCTTCCCCCCTCTAATGGCCCATCCTCTTTTAGACATCACTTATAGTATTGTTTTTCCCAAACTGAGCTTTAAAAATGTTTCACATCTTTTCTACTTGTATATAATGGAAATTAATTCCAGGAACGGAAAAATGGCCACAGTAATTATGAATACTCCTTCCACTAATTCACCTCAAGGCATTTGCACTGGAGGAAACTCTCTCAGTGTTCTAAAGCATTTTTATTTAAGTTGATTGTTCTTATGTTACCTGCTGCACAGAATGTTCTTCCAGGTACCTTGCTTTGCTCTTTTTGCTAGGGAAACCATATAAACAATAAAAACATTGCTCCAGGGCTGTCTCCAGCTCTTCTTTGTAGGGATGAGTATCTTCAGAGGTAGACACTGCAAGCTCCTTTTGCAGTACTCGCACCTACAACAAATATGAAAGGTCAAATAACCAGGTATTTGAATTCTGCTTTAAATTAAATGTTCTTACATTGATTTTCTTGAATATAGTGCTCGGATACTTGGGTGGTAAAAGTGCTATATGAATCCACACAGACTAAAAAAAATAGATGTGCTTTTCCCTCTTATTTTCATCAAAGCAGTCTTCAGACCTCTGTACACACAAGGCTCTCACATGAGTGTTTATTCCCTATAATAGGGGTGTCAAACTCAAATGGGGCCCCATGCAAGATTCAGCCCACGAGACCCTTGTGGACCGGATCCGGTATGTGGCACTGGATGGTGGCAGCAGCAATGGAAGTGTCTGCAGCCACTGAAGTGGCAGTAGGGCAAGCAGCTGCGAGCCAGGCTGTGCAAAGCTTCGGTCCCTGATTCAATTCAGCAGAGATTTGGCCTGATTCGGTGGCCAAATCTCCAAATCCAAATCGAATTCAGGGGACCCTTTAATCTCTCCAAATTGAACCGGAACCCTCTGAATCGATTCAGAAAGATTCAGAGATTCAGACACAGATTCGGAAATACTTCTGGTCCACTTCTGGGTTTGCTGCTGAGCATGTGGAGGGCCCCCCCGCCACCCCTGTGGGACGCTCCATCAGCTCCAGCATCGCAGTGTTCACAAGCCGTGCTGGTACGCTGAGGTATGTAGAAAAAACATTTAAAGCTGTGTCTATGGCTGAATCGCTGATTCTCCAAATCAGCATTGAACCTTCTGATTCAGATCTGGCTGAATCAAGGACAGTGATCCGAATCAAATCACTGTCCCTGATACAAGCCAAATCTGAATTGAATAGGGCCCGCTTCGCACACCCCTACCAGGCAGCTCCTTGCCGTGACAAGTGGCAGCAGGCCAGGCAGCTGTAGGTGACCGAGGACTTGGCTGCACAGCCTTTGCTCACCCACCTGTTCTTAAGGGCCATGTTCACCATGGTCACAAGGCCCCAGATTCAATGGCAGCCTGTGCCAACTACTGGCCATCCCTCAACTTCTAGTAGCCCACAGTAGACCAAGAGGCTGAATGGAGCAGTTCCACAAACAAGTTCTGGCCCACAGGCAATACGTTTGATGCCTGTGCCCTATGCTGGAACCCCAATAACTGCTTTTACCTTTCTATTCATATTAATTATCATGTTCCTCTTTTGTTTTCAGTCAATGAGTCAAAGGCATAGAAGTAGCTACCTGACTAGTTTACTACCTTGAATTTCTCATGCATGGACAAATGCAAAAGAAATGGTCCTAGCTGGGAGGTGAGGAGAGACATTTAAGATGGTCAGGAGAATCCATGAAAGAAGGGAAACAGAACTGCCTGTAGCATATATTACCCAACTCAGTTATAATAACTCAGTTATTGTGACTATAGCACATACAGGCAAGACCTCAGGACCCAGTGATAGATGAGAGGTCAAGGAAAACTTCCAAAAAGACTAAACACAAGCTGTAGTGTCTCCTGACAGTTTGAAAGAAAATCTCTTATCAATAAAAGGAACTTCCTAATTCAGTGGGAACTCTGGTTGATTGGACTCTACACAGATGCAAAAAATCCATGTAGTATAAAATAATTTTCTTGAATAGAGAAAATTATCCATCTTATCAGAATGTTTAGAGATGAATAAGGGGGTACTGGGACAGCTCCCTGGTGCCCAAGCTATAATTTCTCCAGGCACTTGCGCTGACACACAGGAATCCACAGGGCTTGCTCCTCAGAGGATGTCTGATCAGGCGCCTTGATCAGTAAGCACCAAGAGTCCTCTTTCTAAGCCTGCTTCTCATCTTTTATACCATTCCTGCAGACCTGGCATTGGCTACAAGCGTACCAAGGTGGGGCCAACCCAGCCCAGAAACTCTGTAACACCTTCCTTGCCAAGGGCTAGCCAGTACATGTCATCATAGTAAGAAATTGATGAGATCTGGGAGATAAAAAAATCAGTTTCTATTGCCTGATCAGAGTTCAGGTTATATACAGGGTGTTTATAAAGTCCTTGTGCAACTTTAAACTTTAATAACTTTGAATATACACATGATAGAAGCAAACTGCAAATGGCAACTGAAAGCGTAATTCATTATGTTTTTAAGCATAGTGTAACCTATACATAGGATAAGGATCATAAATGCAATTCATGAAATCACTCAGCAGCAACTGGAAAGTGTTTTCTATGCATTGGAAAATCGGATTGAATGATGTACCATAAAAGATGCCAGTTATGTTAAAGTCTAGAAATTTGAGCTGTATTGTGTTAAAACTTAATGAATTGTTTTCAACCACTGTTTACAGTTTGCTTTTGTCATGTGTACATCCAAAGTTATTACAGATAAAGTCGCACAAGGGCTTTATAAATACTCTGTACTTCCAAATTCCTCTGAATTAGGAATCTAAGCCCACAAAAAGTCATTTTTAGATTCTCAATGAAAATGTACCGACAATTAGAGCATAAAGTTCTATACATTTCAAAACCAGGTAATGGCAAAAAAGAAAGAAGGTTGGGGCGGTGGAGGGGGCACAAATGACAGGACTCTTAACTGTACCACACTAAGAATGCCTATATTTTGGGCCTCATGGGGGCAAAATTGTGAGGAGCCCAAAAGAAAATGATAGCCTTGTATACAAATTTACATAAATATAAAAATGTGGGGTGAATATCTGTTGCACAGATATCCTTATTTATTACAGCTAATTAGCTTTATCACCAACTCTACTATTACAAAGAGAGAGGAAGATGGCAAGAAATCAAGGATCATACAGCTCTAAAACTAACAAGTCTGCAACAGAAGGCTGAAAGGGAGAGGATATTTTTCACAAAGGGAGCATTATTGTGAGGGTCTTGATATTTCAATGTAATTTAGGGACATGTTCAACAAGAATACTTCAGTGTTACGGGATTCTACATCTTTCTGAAAGACTAATTTAACCACTAACTGAAGCATTATGAATCAGATTTCAGTACACATTGATAAAGAAAATTACATTCAGAAGATGTCAAACACATGTTGGAAATTTAATTCCATTTTTCTTTTCTCCCCCCCCCC